TACTCCCAACCGAAGACTGTAATTTTTAGATAGGAGTCCCTGCTTCCGTATATAAGCCGAAGGATAGCGGGGAAAATGATTCGACTTCTAATAGATACAGGTGCATCAAAAAACTACATAAAACCTTTGCCTGGCCTGAAACACATAAAACACGTGGAGGAACATTTTATGGTCTCATCTCTTCATGGCTCCACTAAAATGGAAAAAAATTTAAAATAAACCTATTTAACGAAAATTCGTATTTTTTTATTTTTGGTCTAGATCATTTAAAGAAAGTAAGTGCACGAATTGACCTTAGTACCGATTGGATTGAACATAATTCAGGATTGGAAGATTTGCAATTTGCTAAATATAAAGTAAATCACTTTAAATGTCGATGAAGTCCCCAATGCGGTTAGAAAAGAATTTAATTTAATGATCACTAAGCCTAATCAAGCCCGTGTGATTGTTGATAAAAAAGGCCACTATGAAAGTGGCAACAAGAAAAAATGCCTCGTTATCGATTTTAGGAAAAAAAAATCAAAAAACGATTGACGATAAATACTCTATCCCTAGTATTTATACTATACTAGCAAATATGGGAAAGGTCCAGTATTTTACAGCATTGGACCTTAAATCTGGGTTTCATCAAATCGAGTTGGCAGAGATAGATAGGGAGAAAACCGCCTTCACTGTTAATAACGGAAAATATGAGTTCTGTAGGATTACCTTTTGGACTCAAGAATGCACCAAGCGTTTTCAAAAGGGCAATCGACGATGTTCTACGGGAACAAATATCAAAGGCATGCTACGTGTTCGTCGATGATGTCATCATCTTCTCTAAAATGGGTTCTTAAAAGCTTACATGAAGCTGGCATGAGGGTATCTCAGCAAAAGTCTAAGTTCTTCAAAAGAAGCTTAGAATACTTGGCATTAATTGCGTCATGGGAAGGACTAACAACGTCCCCAGATAAAGTAAAGGCAATCGAAGCCTGCCAAGCATCTACTTCACTTTTTAGCCTAAAATCATTTTTGGGTCTCTGCAGCTATAATAGATGTTTTATAAAAGGCTTTGCCACAATCCCAAGAACCCTAACGGAGATCTTAAAAGGCGAAAATGGTTAAGTCAGAACAAATCAATCAAGGAAAATTAATATTGAGTTATCACCCAAACAACGAGAATCATTTGAAAATCTAAACAAATTCTAGCGTCAGAAGACGTGGTTCTAGCATACCCCGATTTCAGCAAACCTTTGGACCTAACAACGGACGCTTCCGCGAACGGCTTAGGGGCTGTGTTGTTACTGGAAAATCGTCCAATAACCTGGTTCCCCAGAACAATCAGGGACAACGAAATGCATTTCGCCACTAATGAGCGTGAACATCTAGCCATTGTATGGGCGCTTAAAAACCTGAGAAATTATTTGTATGGGGTAAGAAATTTAAACATTTTAACCGACCATCAACCTCTGGCGTATGCAGTATCCGAAAAAAATACGAATGCCCTTTTAAAACGCCGGAATACTTTTATTGACGACCATAACGCAAACATTTTCTATAAGCCAGGCAAACAAAATGTTGTAGCCGATGCCCTCTCACGACAAAACGGGAATCCCTTACAGGACAACTCCGAATCTGATATCGCTACCATTCATAGCGAAGATTCCCTTCACTTATTTCCCTTGACGACATTTAAACATAGCAAATTCCTAGTAACAAATATTCCTGACCAATCAGAACAAAAGGAAATAGTAATTTTAGAACATAATAGAGCCCATCGAGCAGCTCAAGAAAACGTTAAACAGATGCTGAGAGACTATTTTTTCCCAAAAATGCTTCGGCTAGCAACGCAATTTTCTTCAATGTCGCGTTGACCAGGCACGCAAGTGAAGTGGTTTCTGAGATGGTTGGCCATCTAGTTCAGAGATTTGCGGCACTCAGAGTAGGTTGCTGAGGTGGTTTTGAAGAAGTCAAGGGCCTTTAGTGATGCTTGACTATCTGAGAACAGGTGTATGACGGGTTTTGAGGTATCCTATGGTGGCCGATACGGTTTGGAAAGAATCTTTCTAATTCAAGCCGCCTCGGTGGTGGACTCTTTTCTGCTGCAAAATTGAGCCTACTCTTTTCGTTTGGCCTATCTTTTTTCTTTTTGTACACGCTAAGTATTAGTATGGTGGACCACCATGGAGGTTTATGGTTCAATTTTATTTTCCTACTAGGGCATGCTATTTTTAAAGCTTCCCTACAGGTGTCTGTGAGGATGTTAACTGTTCTCTCGAGATATTCATGGTTTTCGAATTAAAGGGAGGAAGGGGCTCTAAGTTTGTGTCTGTGAGTTTGGTATAGGACCCCCAGTTGGTTTTTTTAAATTGGGGATTTCTTAAGGGTGAGTGTATAAAGTATTTATGGTAAACTTGATGTATCGATGGTCAGAGAGGGAGTGATCATCCCCGAACCTCCAGAGTGATAGAGTGATATCCAAAACTTGCCTTCTGCTTCTGGTGATAAAGTTAGGGTCATTACCTCTGTTGCAGATAAAAAGATTGGTCTGTAAAATGTAATCGAAAAGTAACTCACCCCTTTTGTTGGCGACTGTACTTCCTAACTATTGCTCCTATTTATAGGCGCTTTAGAAGGGCAGGTGTGGCTGTTTTACTTTGGTGAAGATAAATCTGAAGACACTTCAGCAGTCAGGAGACTGTGCATGCGGCTTGTTAGCCTCCACCTCCTCGGCAATGTCAACTTTCCTGTGCCCGCTTTGGTGTGCAGACTACGGAGAGACTCCATGAACTCCGTATCGGTTGTTACGTAGCCCGCGTTGTACACCTGCTCTTACGATTCCTCTTCTGGTTCCATTTCATCGTCTAAGTTGTCGGTCGCCAGCTTGTCTGTATCAAAGATACGGAGCCTTACCTTATCGAAACGGTAGTTAACCGTGTACTTCTAGTCTGCCCGAGGTTTTAGGCATGTCGAGTTGAGCAATATGACGACGGTCATAGTGCTCTTCTCACTCTTCCCTTTTCGGTTATAGCCACCTTTAACCCGTCTATGGGTATCTTGGGTTAAAACTGGTGAAAATATTTAAATAGTCCTCTGGGTCTGAAGAATTTGCAGGAATTTGCTCTGGTTCTAGGTTTGGACGGGATATCGGCGGCGTCGCAGACATCCAGGCTGGCTCCGGGGTACACTTCACCAAACATCGCGATCGCAGCCTTGTAAACGGCTGCCGAATGCTCGTCCTCAGAGGCAATGACTATGACTTTGCTTTGGTACCAGCCTGCGTCGGTACAGTTTGGTGGAGGTCATGGATTGTTGTCCAGCACTTTGAGGGACCCCATTGGTTTCTGGGTACCCGACCGCTCTCACCGACCTTGTGCTCACCACGAGACCTGCCTTTAGCGGACATCCAGACAAGGATGACTGATTAGCCGACCCTGTGCTGGCGCAAGCCAAGTCCTGGCCGAGGTGCACGGTCTTTTTCGACTGGCTGCTTGGTGAGCTAGCATTTGGGAGAACCGGACTCCTTGGTTTTTGGGTTTTGCTATTAATTTCCTCCATATTAGATACCACGAGCTGCGGAGAAGAGACAAGTCCGCCTGTGCAGAGATCCACTGTAGCCGGGTAAGGCTGGATTAGAGCAGACAGTCGGCACTTGTCTGTGCCCACCGTTCAGAACTGACTCTCGGCACGGTCCGAGGTGAGAAGATTGTTGAGGAAAGAGGATGGTGGCAGGCAAGAGTGTAGGAGGGGAAGTGTGTGAAATATATGTCTGAGGCGGCAGCACAAGCGCAACGTCGGTACTACTACGGCGCAAATACCCGCTGACTGTCTGGAGCTGCTTATTTGCGCTACGCCTTTTCAGCGATTACCAAAACATTCGGACTTTCACCCTTATTCACAGCAACCCTGCGTGTAGGCAGTGCTTTCGCTATCCGCAATATGTGACTCATTCGGTCGCCTTCAGTTCGGCATCCTCAAAGCCATCCGCCTAGTTCTTTGGCCGAAGGCTCAGTGTGGTCGGAATCATTACAGCTGATGACACGTGGATGTATGAATACGACACGCTTACAAGTCGTCGGAATGGCGACCGAAAGATGTTTCAAAACCGAAAATTTGAACATTGACTGACGTAACCAGGAACTGTAAACAAACTACTTGACAGATCGCGCACGAACTTCAATTTGTAATGCAGAACACTGTTACCAACATAACAAAAAAATCCAAAATCGGTTCAGCACAACCTTTGTAATTAATCCAGTCCCGGTACTTTTTTGACAGGAGGTTAGTCAAAATCTCAGTCTTTATTTCCGAAATGTCGACGTTCTTACGGACGGATTGACTCGGCTTTTGATCATGAACAGGAATATAATTTACCACAAAGAAAATATTTCAAAGAATTAAACAAGAAGGAACGCCACAATCGAGTTCCCTGACTATTACATTACATATCAGCTATCCAATTAAAAAAAAATATTACACAAGAAAATAATCGGTGGCAACCCAGCCCCCGCAAACGAAGGCCCTATCTAATGCAGATTACCGGTAGAGCGCCGGCAGAAAACGACACAAACAGTATAAAACCGCTGTCGGCACATAGACATGGATCGGAAGATAGTGTACTGACCATTGACGCCATAATATAAAATAATTGCAAATAGCTTTTGCAATGTTTTATTTTAAATAAATAACCGCTGTTCCTAATGCCGCTTTTCAAATATTCAGTGACATAATTGCAATAACTATTAAAATGTTTAATTTTGAAAAAAAAAATTTTAACTGTACAAATTTTTTAATTTTGAAATAAAAGTTTATTTTGGTTGTATGTATGTAAACTTTTATTGCCACAAATTTTCCATTGGTCTTAACAATGATTTGCAATAAATATCAAGCTTTATACTTTCCGAGATCTCGACGTTCATACGGACGGACAGGCAGACAATACTAGATTTTATTTAATAAATTTTGAAATTATAAGCTAAAATTCAAAGGTTTGTTTATTTTTAATGTTGTAATATACGTACCATGAATATGAGGCATGGAGTGACTTTTTATTATGCTTATCGCCTCGATAAGAAACAAAACTATGCCCAAGAATATCGATCTATGTGGCAATTTTAAGAAAAACATCTCCGCTGTCCTCTTATATAATTTTAGGTTTCAATGGATCCAATAATATTCAGGTACAATACGTACAATTTTTACTGTAATGTTTGGGTAACTCTAAGCTATTTGGCTACTAAGTGATCCGAAGCATTTTGTCGCATACGACGTACACGCGAATTACTGCTGGCTTTCACTATTTGTAAATGATGATGTTCTTGAGCTAAAAATAAATGCTGAAATTAGATTTCTTGTAAACATTATATTTTTTAGTAGTAAGTACCAGAAGGACTATTTTATGTTCAAGAATATTTTATTTTAATATTAAATGTAAGTACAAGTAAATATAAATCACCTTAGACATGTAGGTATTACAAAAATATTATTAAAATTATAACAATATAAACATCGGTATGGTGAGAGCCGAAATTTGCTGCCTCTGCAGCTAGCCGACCAGCTATAGCTTTAAGTATGCAAGTTATCCAACCCGTGAAAAAAGGCCACTTATGGCTTTTATAAACAATAATTTCAATCTCAGCATTTGCCTTTGTCTTTGCCTTTGGCTTTGAGGTCCGAACTTGGTTCCCCAGCTAAGTTAAGCAAATTAAAGTTAACATCAGCTTCCGTTCGAAGCCCAATCAACTGCGCCTTTTGCGTTCCCAGTGTCCGCCAAATTGCATCGGCCAGCATAATTGAATTTCACAATGGGATGCAACAGTTTCATCTTAAGCTTTTATTCTAAACATAGTTTGAAGTTCTAAAGTTCAAAAAGAAAAGCTCCTGGCTGTCCTTTTTTGATCGAGACCGCGATCGGTTGAGAAATATTAGAAAGTAACAAAAGTGTATTGTATTAATTGTGTTAATAATTTTATTAATAAAGGGTTAACATCATTAAATATTTAAAAATAAAATTTATATTTTTTTCTTAAGGACAAATTAATTTGCACACCAACAACGAAGCCTCTGACCGGAAGGGCCGACGCTTAAAGTTGACAATCGTAGCAAACGCAGAAAAATGTATCTCCCTGTCTCCCAAAAAATAAGTGGGATGATTTGTAATGAGGAGGCTAAGAGGCTTATGAGGCTTATGAGATGTCAATGCCTAGTTGAACACTGTTTTCTTTACAAGTTCGTCAATCATTATCATTACAAGTGATGAATTTCTTTCCGATGGTTGATTAATAAAAAGGGTGTGAACGGTACTACAGGGAGCTTACACAAAAGTATTTTAAGACTACATTTGTTTGTACCGATGTATGAACTGAAATTTGGGCCCAATATTATAAGACAGTAAATAAGCAGAAGGTGCTTTTTTGATTTTTAAACACGTGATGAGTTACAGAAAATGTTGAGATTTTTCGTCTGAAAAATTAATTACTCAGTATTGCTTTAAAGGCGAGAAGGAACGCTATAGTCGACTGTTAGATACCCTTTACTAAGATGAAATGGTTATGATACTGAATTAGCGCTGCTACTGTGTTGCTAATGAGCCGTCTCTTGGATGTATTCGAGGACAGAGATTTGATCGCCGTCTGGCCGTCTGGCTGTCGATGTAGATTGAGATTTTTCACGATATGTCTTCCAATGATTTAATTAGTTCCATCGCTCGCCAGACTGCATAAGTATATAATAAATATACATGATAAATATACATGAATTCCCCCGTGGGGTTCTCTTTGATATTATTGTCCTACACCGTACGTCTTACATAGTCGCAGTTATGTATTGGAAAGCAGTATTCACTTTCCTCTAGACCCCTACACAGCTCCGCTTATCGCAGGTTAGTTACGTGGCCCGTCGCTGTTAATTTAAGAAGACGCAGCTACGTATTCTACCGCGCTCCTATCTGCCGTGTATCGATGAAAGGTCTCTACAGAATTAAGTTCAGTGTACGTCTGTGTTGCCTGGGTAAGACTTTGGACAACCTGGCACTCGGGTCTCTGTACCATCTGAAGGTTGTTGAGGTGCTCCATATAACCAGTAAACAGTAAACGGTGGAGCCCCCATCGCTTTTCAACTGTGCGCTTAGGCCTGTATTGTCTTCCTTATTATTTTTTCGAGTTTTTCTTCGAGGAGAGTTTCTGACCTGTCCAACTGAGGGAGACCTTTACTTTTACTCCTAGCATGTTGCTAGTTCAGTATGTGACTATTGTGCGAAAACCAATTTTGACTAATGATGTCTGTATTTACTCGATCACGACAATTATTGAATGGTATTTCAATGTCAAGGAAAGTTGCCAATACTTATTCCTTAGCCTGCGTAAATCCTAAATCACTGGCTTATATTGTTTCTAAAAAATTTTATGTTCTTGGTGACCTGGTTTGTTAGTCTGGTGTGATTTGGCCGGCTCAAGGTCTGGGTTATTTATAGTGCCAATTTTTTTTATCGTTAAAGGCCATTTTTTTCTCCTTTCCAATGTATTCCGTACCCAGTCGAAGTCCGTCTTCAGGGCTGTACGAAATATTAACAAACCACAAGCTTTTAACATTCACTTAATTATAAAAAACTATTCGGACACCTACATGGATATACAGCGACCTTTTTTTCCGTTGCGGAGCTATAAACTAATTTCTAAACTTCTATTGTTAAAGTAAATGTCTGTATTTGTGTGCAACCTTTTCGGTGTCTGTTTTAAAGTTTAGTCTGCTGACCGACGCAAAATCTGGCGAATGCCTTGTGTCCACACAATGGGCAGCAAGAGTCGTCTTTTAAAGTAATTTTAATAGTAAATACGGCCTTATTTCATCAAAAGGGTTCTGGAGACGAGTGATAGATTTACCATAATTCCAATAAACACAAAACTTTTTCGATCTTGAAATAGAATGATTTCCCTCGATCGACACTAAATTCATTAATTCAGGACAAAGCACATATCAAAGAGCAAGAAAAGACTGAAACCATGTACAAATCTGTGATATATATACCAAAGTTTTCTTAACGACTTAGTCTATCAAACGTTTTTACCAAGGATTTGATTACAATAGCCCACAGATCAAAACCCAACAATAAACATTTTTTCAGTAACAAAAAAACTAAAATACCGAAACTTGACAAAAACAATGTAATATATAAGAAGGCAGACAGACATGGCTAGATCGAGTCGATTATTTATCCTTTTTTCATCGCCTTCGGGAACTCCGGTCCTTAACACTACTTGTGAAATCATCACAACACTGAATGATGGAATGTGGCCGATAATGCTAGTTCGTCGATATTTTGCGTTAAATTAGTGTAACATTAATGCCATTAGCTAAAAGACACCAGCAAGCCAAAATTAAATCAGCCCCTAAGGCAGAAAAACTCAGACTAATATATGCCTTCACTATCGTGTTTCACTAAGTACTTATAATTTTTAAAAAAACCATAAATATTTTTTTCTTTTTAAACTTAATTTTTAATATTAATTTGTTTAATTTCATTGCATGTAAATATGGATTTTGATTTGTTTGGTATTTCTTGTGGGTGGCTAACATTTATTAGCTACTTATCTCGGTATAGGATTTGTGGGCATATCGGTTTCTGAGTATCGGCCGGGCCTATTTTTTTGTCTTTGGCAATTCCAGCCTTCATAGCATTGAAGGACGAGTAAGGTGACACCAGACCACCATGCCAAAAGTGTCGACCTCTAAGAAGGCACCGAGAACCGGGATGTCAATCGGCCCGCGCACATACCAAAATCGATATGTTGCACTGTGTTTTCCTTAGAGGAATCAATTAACAAAAACTTGGAACGATGTTGGACCTCAGAAAACATCTTAAAATTTACAAATCATCTTACACCGGATTAACATTCATGGAAGGAAACCGGCACATGTTCAGAAACCAGTGAATCAGATGCAGATGAATGCTAGTGGTTGATTTACGGCTTAGGAGGGAATTCTGTTCTAGAAATTTGAAAAAATTTAACCATTAAAAATGTTTTCTTAAGTTCAAACGCGTTTGTCTCGAAGATACCAATTTTGAGGTGGTTGACATGATAGTTTAAGTTCTACTAAGCCGATTCCTTTGAAATTTTGTGTATATCTTGTTTATACAACCCACTATCGCGTCTGCCTCATACTTAAAAAAATTTTGATATAAGTATTTTTAAAATATGCGAAGTGGACGAAAAAATTGGGTAAAACACAATTTATGTTTTCAAGTCGACATTTTGTTATTTTTAATTTTATTTTTTTAAAAGTGGTTAACCTAAAGCCGCATCTTTCTTAATGATTTTGATTTTTTTTCCGATCTCTAGACTCCCTTAAGGCGGATGCCCACCTGCTCAGATCGTTGATTGAACGTGTTCGAACTAAATTTTTGGCTTTAAATCTAAAGGCTTGATAAACCAAGTTTTTGAATAAATATATCGCCTTATATCACATGGAACTTTAACTCCGTAACGTCCGTAAGCGCCGCGGCACCTCATCTAGCCTTCCGCAGCATGGTTAACCTGACTGACCAACGAGCAGATGTATGTCCTACTGAGCCGGCTTTATAAAATCATCAACATATGTGGACGATTTCTTTTGTGGCGCAAATTCAACGACACGTTGATATTATAATTATAATTTCAGTCAGAGGTTTGCAACGCAGTGATCGAGGCTCATTTTTCCAAGTCTAATTCGAATTAATTAAATATAATTTTAATTTAACGCAAGTTTAGACAAAAAATCATTATTGAGCGAGCTTTCTAGAAATCTAACATAATAACTTGTATTGTTTAGGTTTTAAATAACAATAAATGATGAGTGACTCTTTATTACTCTTTATTTTATGATTTAATTGCTGAAGAATTTATCAAGATAGCTCCTACCAATCAGAAATTATGCTACTTTTTCGTAAAAATTAACTAAATTGACTTTTTGAATCCCTTTAACTTCCGTAAAACTTCGAATTTCTTAAGACCGGCCCAATTGTATTTTGTTTTGTCTCTTTAAGGTTGCCCACTTGGGTGATTTTCACTCTCATGCATTCTGATTATTTTGGGTTTTATAGGAGTTGTCTGTGGAAATGTCGTTTTTACAAAAAAAATATTATTAATATCGACATTGTTTGGCTTACGGTATTTATTTACTTTATAGAATTCTCTCGTTCCTTATATACAAAATGATTTAATTTTGAATTTAAAATATTGTTAGAATTTTAAATTAAAATAGTTCGTCCGTCTGTCCGTCCGTCTGTCCGTCTGTCCGCCTGTCCTTCCGTTTCTACGCAAACTAGTCTCTCAGTTTTAAAGCTAT